ATAGAAACTTAGAGTCTCAGAATTATGTGCGCTGTAATAATGCAAAGAACGACTTAAAAGTAACCTTTGGTGGTAAACTTTTCTCAACATCCTTCTTCACACGTCTCAAGAGAAAAGGTTCCAATTTCCGATGAAGTGCTGAGATTCCCTTGTGATCCTTGTCACTGTGGCCGGCTTCGAACTCAGCCCAGCTCGCGAATCTGCAACTGGAATCTTTAAAGCGACGGAAAATATTATTTTACAAGAGTTTTCAGTTGTTTCCCTGCGCACCAGGAAAAGTCTACTGATCGAACATCCCTGTTACGTAGTTTGTCGGCGCTGTACAGCGGGCCAATAAAGTCTAGTAGGCTAGGTCGTGCTATGGGGATACTTGGCGGTGGTCGCTGTAGGGAAAGGAGAGCGCATTTCCTTCGAGATTCACCTTCAGTTGTCGGCCTTTCTCGGTTTTTCCTGTTTCAAATGCGCAACATACCATGACACGCCCTGATGGACTTTCTAGTTACGCAGGCAAGACAGAGAAGGGAGCCATCGTTGACTCACTGTGGAACTGAAAGTGGGATTCTGAATTAAGATTGCCTGATAAGTAATCTAAGCAGGATTCGAAGCTATAAAGGACTAGAGGAGCAAAATCACGGGAACGTTACCTCGCCAAAGTACAGTTTCACTTGTTACAACAAGGAACACCTTAGATTAAAAAGGGCGATAGCTATACAATAATTCCTCGGCCTTGATATTTCCTATGTAAAACTTTGTTTGATATTGCTTCAACATGAAACACCTACTTTTCAGGCATGATGAAATGCAGCAATGCCCATAGTTCCTTCAGTGAATTCTGCAAGGGAGTCCCGGTAATCAGAAGGCGATGATCACAGTTAAACGAAGACAGGCAGCTGTATAGTAGAGATTCGTCATTTTTCAACCGATGAGCCTCGTCAACAGCCAGCGCTGCCCATTGAAAACTGCCCAGAAACGGCTAAAACATATTAGTGTTGAAGGAAAGCGGTTCAAAGATTCAATCTAGAAAATAATTATATACAGTGTTCGATGGGTCCAATATTTGGGAGAACGATCTCAAGGTAAACAAAAAACTTCATTGTTTTGGTAAATATGAAAGAAAGCTTGAAAAATTAAGGAACGATAATGCGAAAGAAACCTACCTTGTCTTTGAGAAGGATCTCATAAGTAGTGAGAACAGCATTTACTTTAAGCTTCTTCGTGCCAGCCACATACCACTCAAATTGTCGGATCTGGAATGGCGAGTTCTTACTGGCCAAATACGACAGAGCTCGCTCCAGCGACCGAATGTCCCCGTTGGGATTTCCCAAAGTACCACGCGCACGGTCAGAAAATTCATACTAGTCCAGACGCGTTCACGGAGGAAATAGGATCCAGAAAACCATTCCTCTCCTTTCAAGAATGAATATGATACATCTTTAACGCACTGCGCACGCTGCAGGCGTCGCAATAGTTTTCTGACACCTACCTGATTCCAGAAAGGGCCATTGCCGGCGTCGCGGGGAGCACCTAATAGCACTCAGTGAGGCTGATTCAGGCCACCTTGTGAAGACCTGACAGCATAAGCATTAGCCTACACAGCGCAAACTGTTATGAATTGTAAGGTACTTTTGCACATACCTGTTCACGTGAATTCACATCACCCATGTAGGTGACAAGATTCATATCCGGGGCCCACTGGGCAAATTCCTTCTGCCTGCTGCCATAGTCGACAATGGTACAACGACCAGAAAAGGTCCATAAAGATCGTATTTGTAATAGAGAGCGGCTAAGAACGAAATCGATTGGATCGTTTTACCCAGACCCATCTCATCAGCGAGAATACTGCAAAACAAAAATTAATCCTATTCTTTAAGCCTTAATGACGAGCTAGAAGCAAAGAACATACCACGAATTGTGCTTACACCAAGCGTGCAACATCCAGTTCAGACCTTCAAGCTGATAGTCGCGTAGGAACGAGATCTTTGCCTCCAGTTTGAAGGAACGATGGCATCTCGTCAAACTTCACAAACTTTGGTCTTTTGCGTAACACCTTTAATGAGCAACTAGAGATTTCAGTAACTAGAGTGGCGAGTGCCTTCACACTTGGCGTCAGCGTTTTGAGCATACGCAGCTTTTTCAGCGGTTGCGTGAGGCTATAGGTATCGAGCTAGCGTTTTGAGCTGATGTTCGGAACGCTGGAAAGCTGGCTCGACACCCATACTTTCCTAGCGGCTTTAAAGCTGACGCAAAGTATTAGGTTGTTCGGAAAGAAATGCGCGTTGAATTTGTCCATTTATTTCTCTCCTACTATAGAAGATTTTTTTAAAACAGTTTTGTCTATTAGAAAGAGATTTTTATTGTGCATCTTTTGATATATTTTTGTCTATGTCTACTTTGTTTTTTTGAAGAAAAAAAAGTTACTTCTTCTCTCTTCTTACTGCGTCGTCAAGGTGTCGAAACGACGTCGACAAACTCCTCCACGACAACGCTCGTCCACATGTCGCGAAAATCACTTTGGAAAAAATTGAGGAATTGGGCTGGGAAGTCCTGCCTCATCCGCCATACAGCCCAGACCTGGCACCATCCGATTACCATCTGTTCCGGTCGATGCAGCACTCCCTGGCCGAGAGAAAGTTCACAAACCGCGAAGAAGTCCAACTCTGGGTGTCCAACTACTTTGAGTCGCAGCCGGCCGAGTTCTTCGAAAGAGGAATCCATTCTTTGCATAAACGTTGGCAACAAGTCATTGATAGTAATGGAGATTATCTTTTGAATTAATCTTGTTTAATTTCGTTTTTATAATAAAAAAATTTTAACTCAAACGCGCATTTCTTTCCGAACAACCTAATATGAAAGCTTTACAAGCAGGAAGTAACATGAAAGACGTACCGCTGCATTTTTGCTAGGGGCACGATAGTTCTCGAGCCTACGATGATAGGCTTCGATCTTTTCTGGAGGTAAAAGCTTAGCATCTTCCCAGGTACAATCGGAATATGAGAGACCGCACCATTTCACGTAATACTCAGTTGCTTCGACTCCTTCCGCGTTTCTGTCCCGAGACACCTGTTACAATTGCCGATTCTTCTTGGATTATGTTTAGTAAGAGGGTGCAAAGCACTACCTGGTGCGCAACTATTCGCTCAACCTTTAGGTATTCTTCACACAGTTCTTCACTCATTACTTGTTCACATTCATAGAATTCTATATATTCTTTGTCTGCCGTGCGTTTCCTAAAACAAGAAATAGCGCGAGTATGGAATGAAGAATAATGTGTCGGGCAACTCACCATTCATCCATTTCTTTTTGCTTTTTGATGAAATTGTACAATTTTTTACTGCCATTTGCACCCATTGCAGCTATGGAGGCTTCCGATTCCCAAGTGTTATGCAAATGGCTCCAGCCCACCCACCTAAAACATGACACTAAGGATGAGTAGGTTCAAAGCAATTGGTTTTAACTGAATTCTTCTGAACAGTGTTTTATGGAATATCAAGCGGTTCATACTCTGCAAGCTGAAAGAATGTGCGAAATGAAAAAAAAAATTCGCAATAAAGAAAGTATACGAACCGCTCTCGAAAATCCTCAGTTCCGGAAAATTGGTAGGGGAAGGTGGAATCAATCGGTAGTTTTTCATTCCTTTATTCATGGTTCTGCTTCGATTCGCCTGATTAGTGATCCAGCGCAAGGGGCACTAGCCCCGCGTTTTGTGACCCTTCGCGGTCCAAGGCATAGGTTTCGGGTCACGTCGTACGTTGGAAATCCCAGCGAGGGAGGGGGGGGGGGTGTTTAGTCGCTGGAGAGAGGGGATTGTGATTTGCTTCGGTCAGAAAATTTCCGGTTTGACTTTTCTAGCTTTCCCTTTTACGTGCGCTTTATAGCCCCTTCACAACTGTTATTCTTAGTGATAAAATTTTGAGGGAGGTGGGATTGTACTTTGCAAAATTCTCCCTGTTAGAGAAATGTTAGGCAGGATGTGGGATGGAGAAGGGGGTTGTACCAGAAGATGAAATACTACGAGTGGGAGGGGGGGGGGTGCAGGGGAGTGGTATTTTGCAAAATTCTCCCCTCCTGCCTGCTGTTAGGCTGATGAAGATTACGTCTTCCCTGCGACCTCCGCCGACTTTGGTCATCTGCACTGCAAGCCTAAGCTCTGGTCAGAAGAGGGGATAGTAAGCAACGAGCAAGTGTCCCACCCCCTCCCAACTACTTAACACCGCGAATTCTACGCAATAGTATGTTTTCCATGATCACTATTTTCCTTAATTGCGCATTCTCGCACATACCCTCCAGAACCACAAAATATCAATGCAGCGAGCAGGTAGGGGCCCGCTTGATGAATTCAATAACAGACGAAATTCATTTGAAGGGAGTAAAAACAGAAGATAATGAGTCACATACTTGATAAGAAATTGTTGCTCTAGTGAACTAGACGAAGGGTCGTTAGGGTCTCCCTTCTCTGCTACATTATAGCATGTAGTTGCCGAACCAGTAGCGCCTACAGATCCCATTCGTGATTTGATAACCTGAAAAGTACATTCCTCAAGATCCAAAAAGCACCTGGAAAAGAACGTTACGGTTTAGGGGTTCCATCTACACCAAAATGCACTTGTGGCTAGTGATGCAATGAAAAACGAAACCCAATTACGCACACGCTCAATAGTTTCAGCGTTGGCTGCAACCGAAGACGGTGACTTCTTGTCATCTTCCCATTCGAGAACATCATTGTCATCGATCTGAATATAAACCGAAAAACTCCGTGAATTGGATAGAACTGCTCATCAACAAAAGCTGAATCTCCACCCACGTCTTCATCGGTTCCCTTTTCTGTGTAATCCACTTGAGATCGAGATGATTTTGGTCCGCGAGAACGGGTCTTTGAAACCTTTTTCGACTTCTTCTGAGAAATCACCTTACGGCTTTTTCGCTTGTAATCTTCAGAATCCGAAGAAGAATCCTCACTTTTGCTTTCATCTTCCTGGAAGAAAAGCCTTACAGTATAGCCGTCCAATGGATCGCTGATGGGTTCCCACACTACATCTTTGCGTACGCGGCGGCGCGGTCACTGTACGACTATCCCGCGCGCCACTCTCGTCGTCTGCACTCTTCCAAGTCATGGTCGTGCGTAATGGAAAGGATGTCGCAGGGCACATCGTTGTTGGGGAATCCCCAATAGGGGGGTCGTATTTGGGCTGGGAAAAATTTATTTTGATAGTTGATTTTTCTCGCTTCATGGACGTTGTAAAGGGGGGGGGGTCGTACCACGTGCCCTGGTCGGCGCCGCTGCGTGGCCACCGCTCAACTAACTTAGCGCCCAGCTTGAATCAGGTTGAATAGAGTATAGAGGCAAAGGAAATAAGTGTTTCACGTAGCTTCTCAGTAACCGTACTTTTAGGAGCAAAGCGGGACTTTCTGTACCGGAGAGGTCGCAGATGGTTAGAAAGTCCACATCGGACACCAGGAGAGGTCGCAGATGGTTAGAAAGTCCACATCGGACACTCAGCCTCAGCTCGTTAAGATTGACTATAGAGGGGCGATAATCACTACTCTTCCTACTCCACTTTTTTTTGATGCGGATTAAAACCGCTTGAAATTTCGAAAACTCCCTTGCAGAAGACCTGCTTTTAGCAACGACCTAAGGCGTGAGGAAAAAGTAACCTTAAGTTTCAGTGAGATAATATGAGTTCAAATCGGTAATCAAACCTCAGAAGGACTGCTGCTTTTACGACCCTTCCCAGTTTGTTTTGATCTTGCAGACCGTCGCAAGTAATTGCTGTCCTCCAGCAACTGAAAAAATGCTCGTCAGTTCCCTGACAGTTATCAGTTTTGTGTACTTGCCTTTCGAGTTTTTTCATCGAGTCGGCCTTTCGGTCTTCTTCGTGGAACATCACTACTCCCACTTGAAGAGCTGCCTACTCCTGCAGCTTGATCATCGCTACCATCTCCACTTCCTTCTCCTTCTGAAAAGGGCGAGGTTAGATAAGACAGTACTGAAGTGGAATAAAATTAGAGGCACACGTAACATTCGTCGCAACAAAATCAAATAAAATCTGTCGTGGCCCTCAAAAGCTCTTCAAAAGCGTTTGGCCACAGGCGTTCACAAATGGTTGGAACTTCTATGACCCCTCCCCCATTTCTGAACTTCAGCAAGTTTCCAATCGGAAATCATCAGGTGATTCAGCAATCTAGAAAGAGCCGTTTGGAATGGTAGGGGAAGAAAGCCAGCGAGCGATAGGAACTTCATCCAGCCGCCCCCACCTTCTCCCCTTTCCACTTCTGCAGAGGATACCTGCTCGATAGAAGGAGCAATACTCGATTCGATTACCTGAGGGCCCCCTGGGATCGTGGAAGAAGCGCTTGAGTAGCGGCTGAGAAGATCTGAAGAATTAAGGCGCAAGCGTATGCGAGTCATAGAAACTTCAACGAAACCCTTCCCCATCCTCTAAGAAGTTTCAGGGAGTGTTTGATTGATAAAAGGATCAATACTCAATTCGGGGGTCAAAAGAAGCTCAGAATCGCGTAGAAACAAAATGAGCAGCCGGAGGGTCTGAAGATTTGAGGATCAAGCGTAGGTGAGTGGCAGGGACTCCTACGAAAGCCTCCTCTTCTGGAAACGTCCAGGGCATGTTTGATCGATAACCGAATCAATATCCGATAAGGGATAGTGGAGGAATAGGCCTACTAGCTGCTGAGGTGGTCTGAAATTTTAAGGCGCAAGCGTACTCCAGTTATAGAACACCGCGAAACCCCCTTCCCAGACATTCTGAACAAAGAATTTGACCGATAGCGAATCAATACTAATTTCAACTATCTAAGAAGCCTTTACAATCGTGGAAGAAGTCACCGAGTAGCT